TATATATATATATATATATATATATATATATATATATATATATATATATATATATATTATAACTAGTATTTTCATTTTTATTCGAATTTTTGGTGCTAGATTAAATTGCGAAGATATTTGCGAGCTAAAATCCTCACAAGCACTCAATCGCATGGATTTCTCATCTCTTTCTCGTCCTGACCTTTTGTCAACTCACGTCAACTCACCAAATTTGTAACACTTGATCTTGTGAGTTTTCATTAATAGAGTTTCCTCTATCACCTCGAGAATAACCTTCTCTCCTCTGTGAAACTCATCGAATCCGCAGGAAGTAGTCAAGTTTTTCCATAATTCCCACAAGTCGTCACCTGTGGTAATTTTGATCAAATTAATGATTACGATTCAATTTCACCCTGAGGTGTAGGTTAATTCATATTTTCTTTTCTCGTCGGGTTTGGTTGGAACATGTGCTCTCATGCATGAGCACTATTTTATGCATTACTACGCGTCGCCATCCCAGTGGACTCTACATTATGTGTTATATGCTCGTCGCCATCCCAGTGGATTCTACTTTATGTGTTATATATGCTCGTCTCCATCTCAGTGGGCTCTACTTTATGTATTACTACGTGTCCCCGTTCCAGTGACGCACCCACCACGCCAAACGACCCCCTGGACCGCTCGTCCCTCCTCAAATTCCTTATCTTTATTTTTAATATTTTTCAGCTCACCAACTCTACTAGCTCATCCCCATAGACATGAAAAACTTGATTCACGTCATTGTTTAAATTTAATTTTTCTCAATTTTTTAATTGACTTTTTAGGCTTCTAACGAAAATTGTTTTAGACGCGTTGGTTACTCATGGTCGTCGGCCATTTTTGTGTCCGGTTTACTCGTTGTTCCCGCCAAGCTCTCGGGATGATGCAATTTCCATTGCCGTTCTGGAGATGCTTAATTCTTGGATTTTTCTTTTTCTTTTTGTTAATCACTTTACTTACTCATCGTGTTGTCTTAATTTTCCATTTTTCTCGTCTCTCTGGCCTCAACTCACACCGCTCAAGTCCACGTGGTAATCCTGGCTTCCAGTTGAGTTTTTCACTTGAAGTGTGACCGGGAGCCCATAACCTCATCGATTACGCGGGATTGGGATACAATAAATATACACATAGTATTAACTCGTCAAGATTTATTCAATAAAGCTCGTCACTCGTCTCGCGTCTAGCGTCCAACACGTCTCGTACAGGAATGTATCGCACACACGCCGCAACCTGCCTGGGATGAGATCTGCGCATGCGCACGACCTCGTTCCCCTCAGCTTACACAGATGTCTCATACTATAGATAATGTTGTATTAGGACCATGAGCTGAAGCCATATTCCAACAATTTGATATCGCCACAATTAGGTACCGCACTGACTGTCGCGACGAAATATTTTTTTATTAATTTTATATCATTATTACTGTTTTTCTTTTTTTTTCAATTTTTTTTTTCGATTTTACTAAACAAATTCATACTTACCATCAAGATCCGTCCTATTTAAACACTTCAGCCAAATTATCGCAGTGTGAACTCAAGACCATTTATTCACAAGAGATCACCATCTTCCGGTATTTTACATCGAAAGTGACTCAATTCTTTAGATATTCTTTTTCAATTTTCCTCATTTCTCACAATCGATTGATAGACGACTGAAAATTTCGAAAGACACTGAAAAGAAAATTGTCAACGGCCGAATGTTAACCCGAGTCATCA